GTTAAAAAAAGCATCTGAAAAACTCAAGAATAATGCTTCCTTATGTATGTGAATGTTTATCTATGTATATTTTCACACTGAGGTGATGCGGTGTAAATATTCCTGCTTGCAGCATCTTTGGGGAAAGGGGGATCAGCGAACAGTCATTTGCTGATCTCCCCTTTTTGCTAATGACCCGGGAGCGACTTGTAAGATGTCACCTTCCCCAGCCAGTATGGCCATCTGCACTCCAATAGCTTCATTGGAGGACTGATAAGAAATCAGGGCTCATTAAAGGCCAAAGTTCACCTTTTACCTCTATCAGAAACTATGCATGCTCTATTGTGATCAGCTGTCCTGAAATAGATCATTCTTGCCCCCCAGCAATGTGTCTGAGAACTGCTGACTACATGGCAAAGAAGCACTTGAATTGCATTCTAGCACCTTCTACTGTACATGTACAAATACAGAACAGAGTTAACAGGTCTGTAAAACAGGAAAACACACCCACCTATAAAAGCAGTTTTTACAATCACTACTCTTATCAAAAATGCCAAAGCAATCTCTGCAATGGGCTATTTCACGGGCCAAGCCAACTCAAAAAGTGCTTTATCTGCTCACCATCACCACGCAGGAACAGTCATCCGACCATATTCACCAATGTGGAGCACAACCAGCTGGGAGCTAGAAAACCGACTTCAGCGCAAAGCATTTAATAGATGGGTTGAGTGGGGGGGAAGGTCAATAGCCGTACACACCAACAGATCGAAGAGCAGCACTGACTTTTAAAGCAGAAGGTATTCATCAAAGTTTTTTTTGATTTGGTCAGCCTGCTTGTTGATGGCATCCCCCTACAGTTATATTGGAATTTTGCTTAACCTCCCTGGCGGTCTGATTATTTCAGATTTTTGGTGCTGAAAGCTGTACCATTAGTTTGCATGGAAATAAGTAGTTTTTTTTTTATTGTAGGCCTGTAATTTTTAGGAATAAAATCACTGAAATCTGTCCGAACAAGAGTCTAGTAAACATCCCGGGTATGATAAAATTTGAAACACGAAATTATGATTTAATAAATAATCGTAAAAAAATAATATAATACATTTAATTCAATAATATAATCAAACCGAAAACACTGAAATTTGAAATATATCGCCAAGTTCGCACATCGCTGAGCAAAGTCGCAGAATCGTTTTCAGTGTCTGATGAGGAATTTCCCCCACAAATCATTATCACTGAATTCTGCAAGTGGTTCTGATTTACTATCGCTGTTCTCTAGCCGGTCTAAAACCGCTTTTGACCTAAAGGGACGCTTTTTGGACGCCATGGACGTTTCTCAGTTTCCAGGCAGTAAGAACAGACAAAACGCAGGCAGGGCGCCGGACAAAGCACTCGGGACAAAATGTATGTGAAATGGGTTGAAACAGCAATGTTTCACTATGAAAAATGTGTTTTTGAAGAAAATTAAATTTTTTTTTTAAATTTTCAAATTTCCCGCCGCTGACGGCGCCCGTACGTCCCGACTTCACAGGGACCGGAACACAGAAGCCGGATGCCGGCATCGGCCGGAGGAGATGGCCGGGGATGCTGCAGGGGACACATCGCGGGAGCGAAGGACAAGGTAAGCTCTGCAGGGACTCCCTATGCAGCTCCGCATGGTAAGCCCGAGTGTAGCTCGGGGGTTACCGCTTTTGGCACTGACATATTACCCCGAGCTACACTCGGGAATACCGCCAGGGAGGTTAAAAGCTGAGCTCCAGTCAAACATAAACAAAAAACACTCGCCTGTTCCACGATCCATTCTTGCTCCCTGGCACCAGCATCCCAAGCAGGGGCGGACTGACCATTTGGAAACTCGGGCACTGCCCGAGGGCCTGGGGTCAGTAGGGGGCCCCATGAGATGCCCCTGGTACCTTGTTTTTCATAGGCTTTTTTGAGTTTGGGCAAGGACACGGGCCCCATGATCCCCTATTGCCCGGGGGCCCATGAGTTGTCAGTCCGCCCCTGATCCCAAGTGTGGGCACCCGGCTGCACTTGGTGGTTGTAAAGTCTTTTGTTTAACCTCTTCACGCTGGCGCCTCTTGGGCTTTAAAGCGGAGCTCCACCCAAAAGTGGAAGTTCCGCTTTAAGGACTGCTCCCCATTAAGGATTGGCACCTGCAGGGGGTGCTCGAATTTGACAGGTACCCGCTCCCACTTCTGGTTCGATTTGCCTAGGCAACCGGAAGTGGAAGGTGTCTGGGACCTGTCACATGTCTTTTCGGACATGCAACAGATCCCAGAAGACTACAGGACCATTCAGGAAGTACAGCGCTACTCGTGCATGCGCAATGGGCACCTGGCTGTGAAGCCACAAGCTGTCACAGCCGGCTGCCCACACTGAAGATGCCAGCCTCCTAGAATACAGGACGGCCGGTGAAACGGGCTGCGGGGGACACACCATGGGACTGAGGGACAGGTAAGGGGCTGTTTTTTAAAAGTCAGCAGCTACAGTTTTTTGTAGCTGCTGACTTATTTTTTTGACAGGGTGAGTGGAACTCCGCTTTAAGGGGTTTCAGACACTGGGAGGCGGGGCTTTAGGGTCATATGACCGCCTTGATTCGAGGTCACATGATCGGAAAAGGTCCTGATCGCAAGGGGAGATTGGGACCTTCCCGTGAGACACTGACATATGTGCTGGGAGCACGCAGGGCGCACGCTGTCAGCACATGTGTTTTCAAACTGTACGCAAATATGCGGCTGCTAGGCGTCAAGACCCAGCCAAAGAACCCAGCCGCCGAGAGGCAGCATATTTGCGTACAGTCGGCATGAAGGGGTTAAGCTGTACCATCAGGTAAGCCTATAATAACGGTTGCCTGTAGTACTGGGATTACTCTCTCTAAACGTGCACGGTTTAGGACATAGTCACACGGAACGCAGACAGTGACATCACTGGTGCATGCGCTCTGAAGGAACTGCATAACCATGCCAAACCTTCAGAGCCCATGCCGCAGCCCGCAAACCTGGAAGGAAGACCGGGTGAAGATGGCAGCACCACAGAACCGTGACAGTGCTGCGCTGGAGGGCTACGTGTAAAGGTGAATCTGTCATAATGTACCAGTATGTGCTGCATACTAGTATATTATGACCTAATAAGTATGGGTAATTGCGAGCGCAAGTATATAATAAGCAGCCAGCATAAAAAGGTAAACCTCTACACCTCTAAAAAGTAAATATATGCAGCGCTGAAAATAGGACAATAAATAGTATAAAACCAAATAGATATAGATATAGAGATAGATATAGAGATAGAGATAGAGATATATTACACACTACTGGGGCACATATTGAGGTGATATTACATCTGATGATGACGTATCAAAATGCAAAGCGATAACAATAAGTAAATGTGACGGGTGAAATAGTTAATTCAGGTCAATATATTGCAGGTCCAGGAGAAATGGTAATAATCGGTGTTCCGTGCTGGTGAGCTTCAGTGACGAGGAGCAGTAAACGTATGCACTTACCAGAAGCGCATTAGTATTGTGTATATATGTGATGTATCCTGTAAGGGGTCATCTGGATCTGGGCTCGGACGCAAGAATGGTATCAGAGGATAGGGGATCAAAACCGTGAATACATATATAGTTACTGATAAAGACGCAAGCAATTATTGGGGGGTGGGGGGGGGGGTAATGGGTGCCTTGTGGTCCCTGGTTGTCCGAGAGGGAACCTCTTTGTGGTCCCTGGTTGTCCAAAGGGGGGACCTCCTCTGTGGTCCCTGGTTGTCCTAAAGGGGGACCTCCTCTGTGGTCCCTGGTTGTCCAAAGGGGGACCTCCTCTGTGGTCCCTGGTTGTCCAAAGGGGGGACCTCCTCTGTGGTCCCTGGTTGTCCAAAGGGGGACCTCCTCTGTGGTCCCTGGTTGTCCAAAGGGGGGGACCCTTTTCTGTGGTCCCTGGTTGTCCAAAGGGGGGGGACCTTTTCTGTGGTCCCTGGTTGTCCAAAGGGGGGGGACCTTTTCTGTGGTCCCTGGTTGTCCAAAGGGGGGGGGACCTTTTCTGTGGTCCCTGGTTGTCCAAAGGGGGGGGACCTTTTCTGTGGTCCCTGGTTGTCCAAAGGGGGGGGACCTTTTCTGTGGTCCCTGGTTGTCCAAAGGGGGGGACCTTTTCTGTGGTCCCTGGTTGTCCAAAGGGGGGGACCTTTTCTGTGGTCCCTGGTTGTCCAAAGGGGGGGACCTTTTCTGTGGTCCCTGGTTGTCCAAAGGGGGGGACCTTTTCTGTGGTCCCTGGTTGTCCAAAGGGGGGGACCTTTTCTGTGGTCCCTGGTTGTCCAAAGGGGGGGACCTTTTCTGTGGTCCCTGGTTGTCCAAAGGGGGGGACCTTTTCTGTGGTCCCTGGTTGTCCAAAGGGGGGGACCTTTTCTGTGGTCCCTGGTTGTCCAAAGGGGGGGACCTTTTCTGTGGTCCCTGGTTGTCCAAAGGGGGGGGACCTTTTCTGTGGTCCCTGGTTGTCCAAAGGGGGGGGACCTTTTCTGTGGTCCCTGGTTGTCCAAAGGGGGGGGACCTTTTCTGTGGTCCCTGGTTGTCCAATGGGGGGGGACCTTTTCTGTGGTCCCTGGTTGTCCAAAGGGGGGGGACCTTTTCTGTGGTCCCTGGTTGTCCAAAGGGGGGGACCTTTTCTGTGGTCCCTGGTTGTCCAAAGGGGGGGACCTTTTCTGTGGTCCCTGGTTGTCCAAAGGGGGGGACCTTTTCTTGTGGTCCCTGGTTGTTCTTTGTTGCTGTTTTTGTTAATATTTAGTTTTAAGCTACATGCTCCAGGTCCTAAACTCGCCTCCCTCATATTACAGAGGGAATGAAAATAGACATTTGATTACACAAGTGGTTTGTTGTAGCTGTCATGTTGCACCTTCTTAGTGTTAGATGAGCTCAGCACACTTTCCTGGCCTCTCTCTCTGTTGATCTTTCATCTGATTCACAGCTAACAGCTGAAGTGTGTGCTGTGTTTGTAGTGTACTTAATGTGTTTATCTCCCTGCCAGATAACTGCCATGATGAACGGTTCAAACCTTGGGAACTCCACGTCCAACAACAAGTCAAAGGATGAGCAGGTGGTAAACGGACATGACGAGAATGAAAACAACCCATTCGCAGAGTACATGTGGATGGAGAATGAAGAGGATTTCAACAGACAGGTAACACACGGTCAGCAGCAACAACAGTCATCCACAGGTGACATGGAAACATCGCAAACAGACCACTGCCTTCTGATATCCCCTTTTCACTTTATCATGAAAGGTGTACTTTAAAGAGGAACTCCTCATACATATGCATATATATAGATATATCTATATCTATATATATATATCTATCTCTATATCAACTTAAAAGGAGATGGATATAGAGAGATGGATATATTATTAGTGGCTGATATCTTTCTGTGCATCTTTTATGCTCCTGCACACCAGGAGGATGGCGGCAGTGTTACTCAGAATTTTATGTTCGCACTGCGCTCAGTCTAAGGGCCTGTCGGTAAGCTTTGTTCTCATCAGAATAGCTTCTCCCAAAAGTAAACCTTTACTATATTGTAGCTTACCAATTCTTAAGTGTGATGGCTGCATCCATTTTTTTTTTTCCTTTCTTTAGGCTTGCTTTCTTCTATTTTCATCTGCTGAACCAGCCAAGTAAATCTGCTCTTCTAGAAGAACAAGCTCTTGCTTTTACAGGGATGAGACAAACTATTTACTGACGGGTGCTTACATTGGTCAGCTTTTATGTAAAATCTTTATCCTAAAAGAAAAAAAAAAAAAAGGGCAGTTTGCTGTATTTGCTTTTAACGTATTAGCTGGAGTTTGGGTCCAATTAGTCCATCTAACACTCCTCCCCCCCACAATGACAATGCTGTTGTCCAAAGATGCCCCTGTGCTCCATCAAAACTGGAGGGCGCTTTAATACAGGAAGTGTTACTGGCCAGATCACCAGGTGAAAACAGAGGGGGAAAAAAAAACCCTAAACAAAAAAAAAAAAATGTAGCCACCACGTCTAATTGGTAAACTGCAATATATTTTTTGGTTTGGGGTTTAATACCGCTTTAATTCTGAATGCTCTCAAGTGTCTAATGCTAATGTCAAAAGCACTCTGCATTTTACCCATCAAAGCCTATTGAAGCCGACCCACAACACTGAGAAATTGCTAATAGCCATTGAGTGCACAGAGATGTCCTTCTCAGTGTACTGACTTAAAGCAGAGCTCTACCCAAAAAGGAACATTCTGCTTTGACTGCTCCCCATTAAGGATCGGCACCTTTTGGGGGAGTGGGACGGGTACCCGAATTTGACAGGCACCCGCTCCCATTTCCGGTCTGATCACCTAGGCAATCGAAAACGGAAGGTTTCCTCCCTTCCTGTAGTCTTTTGGAACATGTGACAGGTCCCAGAAGACTAAGTCCTGGAATCCAGGACGGCCGGTGAAACTAGCTGCGGGGGACACACCGCGGGACTGAGGGACAGGTAAGTGGCTGGTTTCTTTCTTTTTTTTTTTTTTTTTTTTTTTTTTTTAAAGTCAGCAGCTACAGTTTTTTTAGCTGCTGATTTTTATTTTTTGACAGGGTGAGTGGAACTCCACTTTGATTCATTGCCCCAGTTTAAAGCAAAAAAGTAATTTTTCTTATTGGGCCCTTGAAGCCACTCACTACTGGGCACAATCTGGCCATGGTCACTGGTCGCCTCATATATATATATATATATATATATATATATATATATATATATATATATATATATAAATAATAAAAAATTTTTTTTTTTTTTTTTTTTTCCCCCCCCCAGTGGCCTGCATTTAAATAGAATTCTGGGGTACACCTAACTAATTTTAAAATGCTTCCTCCCCCTCCTAACACCCATGCTGACAAACTTGTGTAAGAAAGATTAGTGGTCCCCAGTGTCAGCCAGAAACCGCTGCAGGGGAGAGGGTAGAGCTTGACAATGGCTGGTCAAGCCTGGAGTGGTGACATCACCCATAGGGCTTCCATGGCCCATTCATCGTCGGCTCCTTTTCCCCTCCCCTGCAGCTGCTGCTGCTGGCTGACACAGGGGAACCGCATTCCATGACCGTAGCTGAAAATAGGTAAGTATGTACATCTTTCTTGCAGTGGTTAGTCAGTGTAGGTGCTAGGAGGGAGCATTTTAAATGTAGTTAGGTTTATCCCAGAATTCTACATTTAGCCAGTCATGAGAACAGTACAGGTTTGCATTTGCTGACTGCCTTCTGAAAATGTTTGCTTAGTTCTTATGCTGAGCCTGTGCCAGTCAGTACTTCAGTCATTCATCTGGAACAAGTAGGTAGGACATGCCAAGGTTATGAACTTCCAAGTATTGAGACAAGAAGGTCAACGTGACCTCCAGGCAGCTAGCATTTTTTTATATACAAAAACTTTTTTCATTTTTTAGCCCTTGTGTTTGTCATGGCAGATTCCCTTTTACTGGAACACCTTTATTCATTAACCAATTCAATACCGGGCAATTTTACACCTTCCTGTCCAGGCCAGTTTTCAGGTTTCAGCGCTCACACTTTGAATGACAATTGCGCGGTCATACAACATTGTACCCAAACTAAAATTTTATCATTTTCTTCACACAACTAGAGCTTTCTTTTGGTGGTATTTAATCATCGCTGGGGTTTTTATTTCTTGCTAAATTAACAAAAAAAAGACCAAAAATTTTGAAACATGTTTTGCTTTGTTTCTGTTATAAAAGTTTGCAAATAAATAATTGTTCTTCATAAATTTAGGCCGAGATGTATTCTGCTACATGTCTTTGGTGAAAATAACCCAAATTAGGATGTATTATTTAGTTTGTAGGAAAGTTATAGAGTTCACAAACTATGGGATAGATCTGAATATTGATCAATCCTGAAGTACTGACAGCCAATCTAATTTCTTGAGGTCCCAGAATGTCAGAACAGTACAGATATCCCCCAAATGACCCCTTTTTGCAGAGTAGACAGTCCCGACGTACTTCATAAGAGGCATGGCGAGTTTTTTGAAGTTGTATTTTTTTGGGCATTTTTTCGGAAAATGAAAAAATTAAAAAAATTAGTTTCACTATTTTTTTTTTTTTTTTACATATTGCCACCAGTGCAGTACAGCGTCATCATATAACTGGCATGGCGGTGATCAGGGACACTGGTGACAGTATGAAAAAAAAATATATATATTTTATTTTTTAATTTTTTTTTTTTTTTCCCTTTTTGTAAAGATTTTTTTTTTTCATTTCACTATGACCAAAGTAGTACAATGTTACTATGGTAACATTGTACTACTTTGTACTACTTGTACTACTTTGGGGAAGTGATCAGTATTTTTTTTTTTTTTTTTTTTTTTTTACACAATTTGCTTATAGCAAAGAATTACTTTGCTATAAGCAAGCATTTACCTGAATGATATCGATTCATTCAGGGCTTTTTTTTTTTTTTTTTTTGTGCTTAGCTGTGATTTGGCCACAGCTAATCACATGACATGTGCATGTGACCTGCTGTGACCATTCACAGCTAGACACTAGTATACAGTGGATGGCATGAATGAAGCCATCCATTGTATACAACTGTCATGTGACCTGCTGTGATTGGTCACAGCAGGTCACATGGTACCGGCAACTGGGGCCGATACTCAGATCTGTCATCGGCCGTGTCCGAGGTACACGGCCGGTGACAGTTTGCGCCGCTGTGCGGCTCTGCAGGAGCGCGATCTGCGCATGTGCGGGAGGACGCCATATGGCGTCCACCCAGAACGCTGTTGACATTTGCCAGCCGCCATTCAGCCATAGGGCAAGCGGCAAATGGTTAAGCAGTGTATGACTTTATAAACTTTTTTTTTTTTTTTTGCAAAAGTTAAAACTAATTTTAAATATTAAGAGACGTGAAGGAAATAAAAATAACTAACATTCATATTCCGTATCAATCCGATCGGTCTCTCCCACCATCTCTACACCGAAGATTGAGCCATCGTGGTCCGCTGATCACTTGGTTCTCGGGTCTGTTCTGAGTACAGAACAGGGACTATCAGTTTCCGCTCTGCTCTGCCCCTCCAATGCTCACTCCAATCAGTGGACTACAAGTACCATCTTCCATTGCGACAGATGCTTTGTAGTTGTCAATGAACTGTGATGGTGCTGGTGGACGCTCCTACCTCATTGATATTCCTGGACTTCAGAAACTGTCCATATATGAAGTACAGGCAGTCGGCTATACTGAGTGTCTGCAGGAGCCTGATATTGCACCTGCGATCTACTGTTCATGGGTGCTATGCTGTCCATGTTCCTGTGGGGAAAAAATTATGCACAATTTTTTATTTTTTTTTTCAGAAATCTATGCATTTATTATTTTTTCCCAAAAGGTGAACTTTGCCTTTTAAATAGTGCATAGAAGTATTTCATATCTGCTATGTTCAAGCAGCCAGTGTAGCCTGAGGCTCACTTGCCTATGTTTTACCTGCCTGTCCTTCATGTTTGAGTTGTCTGGTCATAAGACGTGTACTTCAATATACAGGGCTGCAGCTGAATTACAGATATGAAGTGTTAAAAAAAAAAATACTCTGTGCAGCGCTCTAATCAGTAACCTTTCATAAAAATAATACGTCAGCTAACATTGGGGCCATAAAATATACCAACCGATCTAATCTTAAAAAAAAAAAAAAAAAAACCAATGCGTAACGTGGCACTAGTGAAATAAAAGGGAAGCAAACAAGTGTGTTTGCTAATTCATCCCAAAGGTGTTCTATGGGGTTGAGGTCAGGACTCTGTGCAGGCCAGTCAAGTTCCTCCACCCCAAACTGGCTCCTCCATGTCTTTATGGACCTTGCTTTGTGCACTGGTGTGCAGTCATGTTGGGAACAGGAAGGGGCCATCCCCAAACTCTTCCCACAAAGTTGGGAGCATGAAATTGTCCAAAATGTCTTGGTATGCTGATGGCTTAAGAGTTCCCTTCACTGGAACTAGGGGGCCAAGCCCAGCCCCTGATAAACAACCCCCCACACCATAATCTCCCCTCCACCAAACTTTACACTTGGCACAATGCAGTCAGGCAAGTACTGTTCTGGCAACCGCCAAAGCCAGACATGTCCATCGGATTGCCAAACAGACACGTGATTGGTCACACGTCTCCACTACTCTAGAGTCCAGTAGCGGCGTGCTTTACACCACAGCATCCGACGCTTTGCATTGCAGTTGGTGATGTAAGGCTTGGATGAAGCTGCTTAGCCATGGAAACCCATTCCATGAAGGTCTCTACACACTGTTGTTGTACTAATCTGAAGGCCACTTGAAGTTTGGAGGTCTTTAGCTATTAACTCTGCAGACAGTTGGTGACTTCTGCGCACTGTGTGCTGCAGCATGCGCTGACCCCGCTCTGTCATGTGACGTGGCCTACCACTTGGTGGCTGAGTTGCTGTTGTTCCCAGTTGCTTCCACTTTGTTGTAATACCAGTTGCTGGGGAATATTCATGGTTATATACCATGCTAGAATTTGCTGAGGTGAGAGCGACCGTTTTTTTTTTTTTTTTTTTTTTTTTTTTTTTTTTTTTTTTTTTTGGGTTTTGAGTCAGAATGTTAGTTCTTATCAACAAATGGATCTAGCTTTTGCCAATTTTCATGAAATGGCTTAGTTTACAGCAACTGAAGTGTACGAATTTTAAAAAAAAAAAATTGATTCTTTTGGCGTTCCGTAATCTTATGGTCCTCAAAGGGTTAATACACCTGTGGCCATGGAGGTGATTGGTACACCTGAATCCAAGTGTGTGTGTCTGTCACTTTTTAAGGGCGTTTGGATTTTTTTTTTTATTTCCCTTTCTTCCTCTTAAATCCCTGTATGTGCAACGACAGGCTAACATGGAGTTCAGAGGGGGGAAAAAAAAGTGCCAGCACATTCAGGAGCAGCAGTGCGCATTTAAACGCGCTTAAGCGCTAGGCTTGTTTAAAGCTTGAGCATTCATTTCTATGGCCCAAATAAATTAACATTCTGCCCAATTGAATGAATGCCTAAACGTGTTAGAAAATGTGGCATTAAGTGAGTTTTTTAACGCTGCTTTTCTTCCTGCCAAGAGTAAAGGTGTTCAGAATTGCTGGGCAAATGATCAGTGTGCATGAGGCCTTTAACATGTGGCTTTGTATGGAAAACTAAAAGCAAGGATTGGCACATACGTAAGCTTGAGATAAATTACAACAAAATATAATCAGTCCTGAGTTATGATTTGTATCCCACACACAACCTAATTCATAGAGATTAGGTTGTCTATCACATGGGCACCCTCTGATTGTCCCAGCAGGGGGGACTCTGGACTGATTGCATCAGAATAGAAATAAATGTAGCACATGTGTCGCCCTTGTCTGTTCCCTTTTTGTTTCATCTTCTGATGGTGGAAAAGGGACCCATGGAATCCCGTTTTCATCCGACAGCTGACAACGGTCATCCGGTCCAAGCTGGGGAAAGATCCCGACTTCAAAGTCGGGATCCACCCCAGAGTCTGGAGCTGCTCCTGGCTCAGCCTCTCAGCGAGCCACTGAAAGCCTGAGCCAGCCGCTCTCTCCTCCACAGCCCAGCACTCCAGTGAGCGCAGGGGTGCTGAGCAGACAGCGTTGACTGACAGTCCTGCTCTTTGTTCACATGATTTCTGAGTTCTCACAACTGCTCTGATCACTTAGTTCTCAAACCCCCCCAAAAAAAACTTTTTTCCTTTTTGTCCTTGTAAAGGAAATTTTTTTACACTTCTGTCTGAACAGGAAATTATGGGGGGAAAAAAGGGGAAAGGGTTAGAACTTATGATGTTGTATTCCTGGCTGTGCTATTCGTCCCAGTGACACCCACTCTTCCTGTAGCTTGCATTGGCGTCAAATGGGTAGGAAGTGAAGGGAAGCCCCCCAATGAGGATGGCAAATTTTGACACAAGTATTTATTCTTGCCCACTCTATTAACCCTGGCTGTAATATATGTGGCAGCTCTGGTGTGGGCATTACCACCTAGCTGCCACGTGTACAGCTGGCACCTGTTCTATACTGAAGGGATGCTCACTTGGCATTCTCAGCACTATGACCTTGCTGCCACTGACCTTTCCAGGCAAACAGCAGTTGGTGGGGGTAGACTACTGATCACATGATCATGAAACACATTTTTTAAAAGGCCCGCTGCCTGGAAAGGGTCAAAGAAAAATAAAAACATGAAGGATTTTAGACACTGAATGGACATCCTTGTGCTTTTTGTCATTTTTCTTTCTTGTTCCTGTTCAGGTGTGGAAGAGGAGCTACAGGAGCAGGAGTTTCTAGACCGCTGCTTCCAGGAAATGCTGGACGAGGAAGACCAAGACTGGTTCATTCCCTCCCGTGACTTGCCGCAGGGTGTCGGGCAGTTGCAGCAGCAGTTAAATGGTCTCACAGTCAACGACACTCATAGTACAGAGGACATCTTGGTACGTTTTACCTTCATTCGCTGTTGAGACTGGCTCTAATTGAATGTAACAGATTTCTGGCAATTGGACATTTTACAGTTGGTGTATTTTTCTTGGATACATATTTGGAGTTGGCATTTCATTTACTGTAAAGTAATATTTGATGTGTTTTCTATGTTCTTGAAGAGCAACATCCGTTTGCTAGTTAGCAGCCACAAACACTGTAGCTCCGGACTCTAAATATCAATATCTGAAATTGAGTCCATCACTGTCTCTCTCCTTACTGTGTCACGTCCCTGGTGCTGCCATCTTGGATATGGGTGCTGGCTGTGGCTTCCTGAGGAACCATAGCCAGCTCCCATTGCAAATGAGGGCTCACGCAGCTGTCTTGTCCTAGGAGGGTGGGTGTAATGTGTATTATACAGTGGATATAAAAAGTCTACACACCCCTTTTTAAAATGTCAGGTTTCTGTGATGTAAAAAAAAAAAGACAAAGATAAATCATTTCAGAACTTTTTCCACCTTTTTAATATGACCTATAAACTGTACAACTCAGTTGAACAACAAACTGAAATCTTTTAGGTGGAGGGAAGTAAAACTAAAAAAAGACAAAATGAAATGGTTGCATAAGTGTGCACACCCTTAAACTAATACTATGTTGAATCCCCTTTTGATGTGATTCCAGCACTCAGTCTTTTTGGGAGGAGTCTATCAGCATGGCACATCTTGACTTGGCAATATTTGCCCGCTCTTCCTTGCAAAAATGCTCCAAATCTTTCAGATTGTGAGGGCATCTCCTGTGCACAGCCCTCTTCAGATCACCCCACAGATTTTCCATCCGATTCAGGTCTGGGCTCTGGCTGGGCCATTCCAAAACTTTCATCTTCTTCTGGTGAAGCCATTCCTTTGTTGATTTGGATGTATGCTTTGGGTCGTTAAGCTGAAAGATGAAGTTCCTCTTCATGTTCAGCTTTCTAGCAGAAGCCTGAAGGTTTTGTGCCAATATTGTCTGGTATTTGGAACTGTTCATCATTCCCTCTACCTTGACTAAGGCCACAGTTCCAGCTGAACAATCGGCCCCAAAGCATGATGCTGCCACCACCATGCTTCACGGTGGGTAATGGTGTTCTTTTGGTGATGTGCAGTGAATTATGGCCGAAAAATTCAGCCTTGGTTTCATGAGACCATAACACATTTTCCCACATGCTTCTGGGAGACTTCAGATGTGTTTTGTTTTTGCAATATTAGCTGGGCTTGGATGTTTTTCTTTGTAGGAAAAGGATTCCATCTTGCCACTCTACCCCATAGCCCAGACATGAAGAATACAGGAGATTGCTGTCACATGGACCACACAGCCAGTACTTACCAGATATTCCTGCAGCTCCTTTAATATTGCTGTAGGCCTCTTGGCAGCCTCCCACACACCAGTTTTCTTCTCGTCTTTTCATCAATTTTTTAGGAACGTTCAGTTCTTGGTAATGTCACTGTTGCGCCATCTTTTCTCCACTTGATGACTGTCTTTGCTGTGTTCCATGGTATATCTAATGCCTTAGAAAGTCTTTTGTACCCTTCCCCTGACTGAAACAGCGAGATCCCTCTGATGCTTTGGAAGCTCTCTGTGGACCATGGCTTTTTCTGCAGGATGTGACTAAGAAAATGTCAGGAAAGACCTACTAGAACAGCTGAACTTTATTTGGGGTTAATCAGAGGCACTTTAAATGATGGCAGGTGTGTACTGACTCCTATTTAACAGGATTTTGAATGTGATTGCTTAATTCTGAGCACAGCTACATCCCCAGTTATAAGGGGGTGGGCACACTTAAGCAACCATATGTTTACTCCCCCCCCCCCCCCCCCCAAAAAAAAAAAGATTTCAGTTGGTTTTTCAATTGAGTTGTACAGTTTATAGGTCACATTAAAGGTGGAAAAAGTTCTGAAATTATTTGTCTCATTTTCTACATCCCAGAAACTTGACATTCTAATGGGGAGTGTAGACTTTTCATATCCACTGTGTATGTATGTATGTATGTATGTGTGTATGTATGTATACATACATACAGTATCTCCCAGAAGTGAGTCCACCCTCACATTTTAATAAATATTTGATTCTATCTTTTCATGTGACAACACTGAAGAAATGACACTTTGCTACAATGTGACGTAGTCAGTGTACAGCTTGTATAACATGTAAATTTGCTGTCCCCTCAAAATAACTCAACACACACATTAATGTCTAAACCGCTGGCAACAAAAGTGAGTCCACCCCTAAGTGACAAGGTCCAAATTGAGCCCAGTTAGCCATTTTCCCTCCCCGGTGTCATGTGACTCATTTAGTGTTACAAGGTCTCAGGTGTGAATGGGGAGCAGGTGGGTTACATTTGGTGTTAGCACTCTCACTCTCTCATACTGGTCACTGGAAGTTCAACATGTCACCTCATGGCAAAGAACTCTGAGGATATGAAAAAGAATTATTCCTCTACATAAAGATGGCCTAGGCTATAAGAAGATTGCCAAGACCCTGAAACTGAGCTGCAGCACGGTGGCAAAAACCATACAGCGGTTTAACAGGACAGGTTCCACTCAGAACAGGACTCTCCATGATTGACCAAAAGTTGAGTGCACGTGCTCAGCGTCATATCCAGAGGTTATCTTTAGGAAATAGACATATGAGTGCTGCCAGCATTGCTGCAGAGGTTGAAGGGTTGGGGGGGTCGGTGAGCATGTCAGTGCTGAGACCATACGCCGCACACTGCATCAAATTGGTCTGCATGGCTGTCATCCTAGAAGGAAGCCTCTTCTAAAGATGATGCACAAGAAAGTCCGCAAACAGTTTGCTGAAGACAAGCAGACTAGGGACATGGATTACTGGAACCATACCCTGTGGTCTGATGACACCAAGATCAACTGATCTGGTTCAGATGGTGTCAAGCGTGTGTGGCGGCAACCAGGTGAGGAGTACAAAGACAAGTGTGTCTTGCCTACAGTCAAGCATGGTGGTGGGAGTGTCATGGTCTGGGGCTGCATGAGTGCTGCCGGCACTGGGGGGCTACAGTTCATTGAGGGAACCATGAATACCAACTCGTACTGTGACATACTGAATCAGAGCAGGTTCCCCTCCCTTCGGAGACTGGGCTGCAGGGCAGTATTCCAACATGATAATGACCCCAAACACACCTCCAAGACCACCACTGCCTTGCTAAAGAAGCTGAGGGTAAAGGTGATGGACTGGCCAACCATATCTCCAGACCTAAACCCTATTGAGCATCTGTGGGGCATCCTCAAATGGAAGGTGGAGGAGCGCAACGTCTCTAACATCCACCAGCTCCATGATGTTGTAATGGAGGAGTGGAAGAGGACTCCAGTGGCAACCTGTGAAGCTCTGGTGAATTTGGACCTAGTCACTTAGGGGGTGGACTCACTTTTGTTGGCAGCAGTTTAGACAGTAATGGCTGTGTGTTGAGTTATTTTGAGGGGACAACAAATTTACACTGCTACAATGTAAAGTACTGAGTGTACAGCTTGTATAACAGCGTCATTTAAGTGTTGTCACATGAAAAGATATAATAAACTATTAACAAATCTATCACAACAAAAGTACTCGCATATTGCCTGGAAAAAATGCACTAAATGAGTTTTGGTGCATACTCAATACCTAATTTTTTTTTTTTTTGTGTGTAAAATATAAGATGAGGTTGCATTAAGTAAATACTATGTCAAGCCTCAAAGTTGGGCACCCAGGAAATGGTCAAAGACTGCGATACCCATAGTTTTTCCATAGGCAACATAGGTATATCGGTTTAGAGTTAACAAACTATGGCCCTCGAATTTACTTCTCGTCTTGACCTGGCAATTTTTTGCGATACGGTCCTGTTATTGACAATTGTGCAGTTTAACGCTGTACATAAATTTGTCATCCTGCGTTTTTTTTTTTTTTAAAATATTTTATGTGCTATAAACAGAGAACACCAACCCTTTTGAAAAAACAATATTTTTGCTGTAAAACGTATCCAAAAAAAAATTAATTTTGTCATAAATTTAGGCCAAAATGTATTCTGTTACCTGTCTGCTAAAAAAAAAAAAAAATAAAAATCCCAATACATGTAAATTGCTTGGTTTAGGTGAAAGTTTTATAGCGCCTACAAATGGAGGTGTGTGGTATGTACTCTCACCCTCTCCCTCTCTCCCAAAGTTCATTTTCATAGAAAAATATATTTAATTCCTGTTTCTGTCTGTATGGCCAGCCTTTATATGAATGCCAAATTGCTGTTGTCTGGGTTCCATCCTTGTTCACTCTGAAATCCAAAGACCAAACCTTTCCACCAATGATAAAGGGCACTGCTATTTATATATGCAGGCCTGGGCTTTGTCTGTAAATTAATGCCATGTAGGTGTAAGATTACATTGGTGAGCGCATGCATTTTCTCACAAGTCCCTCTCACTTCAAAGGAGGAGAGAAACCATGAACATCAGAATTTAAAGCAGCAGTTCTTTTGCAAACAGATCAGGCCTTTACAGTGCTGGACTTAAAAGGAACTGTATGTTTCTATGGATCTGATCAGCTTAATGTGTCCCTGTTGCAAAAACAGTTTTCTGCAATAGAGGCCGTAATATACACCTCTCTAGTGGCCCATGTCTCCTGCCTTACCCCTGTTCAGCTCTGCAGCCTCCATCATTGTTGGGTAATACCACTTTCCGATGTGCGTATGCCTGTGTAACCCACTGATTGCTGCAGTTCCTTCCTCTAACCTCCTTCGTTACTGCAGTGTGTGACATAAGGGGTGATGGAAGGAACCACAGCAGTTTAAATGACCATTGCTGTTGGAGGCTGAAGTGCTCTGGGAAGATGGCAGGTGAGTAATATTTCCTTTTTTGTAATTGGCCAAGTTGCTTAGTGTAGAGCAGGGTCTTCAAATTTTCTAAACAAAAGGTTAGTTTGCTGTTCTTCAGACTTTAGGGGGGGCCAGACTGTAGGCCATTGGGAGTAGAGATTTTCCTGCCATCAGTGGCAATAAAAAATCACCTATTTGGCATTAGGGGAAGGAATAGTG